GGGCCGAGGGTTGACTTGCACTCTACTTTGTGTTATGTACTCCTATGTTGGCACGACATGGCACGGCTCTTCTGAATGATGCTGAACATCAGGGATGCCTGGCGATGGCCTGATCCAGTGCGCATGCTGACGGAATCTGAGCAAAACGGATTCCACTGCCCTGGGATCAGCACTTGAAGGAGCTAGCATGTCAAGAGTGCAAGACGCCATCGGCATGCATGGTTGGCAGCTACTGCCCCGAAACCTCAATCCCGTAAAGCCAGCAGCGATCAATGGAGTTTCTTTAGTACCCAAAGCCAAATCACAAAGTCAGGGTGCTCAACCCTGAACTTCGAACTTTACACCAGGAACCGCCATTGCAATCCTGGGAGCCGTCCAGGAACAGGAGCGTGCCTTCGTGCGGCCTAACCTGTCTTGTCGAGCGAGGGCAGGAGACGGCTCAAGCAAACGGATAGGGATCAGGAAACCAACACTGGGATCAAGAACAAGCAGATGAAGGATTATCTTCAACATAGACAATGCTGACTTCCAGAGATCACAGCACTGCCGCCGTCGTCAAGCCGACAGAGACTACAACTTATCGGACAGCTGCGGAAGAACGTAAGTTTCCTGCAAGGCCGCAATGCCATAGTCACTGCTAGTGACTGCTAGTGAGCTATGTAGAGGCGACCGGGTAGTGGAGTAGAGGAGTAAGAAGTCGAGTATGGTAGGGTGTAGCGTAGCAAAGAAGAGAGTGGCACAGCATGGCAAATCGCCATAAGGCGTTTCGATTCCATATTGCTTGAAAACATTACACGATTATATTTGCTGCAGTCTCTGGTTTACGTTTTCAAACTTGACAGAGCAAAGGCACAGCATGGCCCAAGCTGGTGCAGCAATGACAGCAAGGTCTCGTCAAGTCCTTTCTAAATTCCTCTATCTCTTTGCTCAGTCAAACAGTTAAACTCCATTCCCCTCCTTGTCTACACCCGAAGCCCAAAGCCCTGAGGCCTTTCACTGCCAAACCCCTAACCCCGAAGCGCCAAACCCCAAGCCCTGAACCCGAAACTCTCAAAGAACCGCGAACCCTGAGGCCCCTTTAACCTTTTTGAGAGCCCAATTGAAACTAGAAGAGGTTGGAGTTGAGGGTTTAAGATTTCGTTTAGGGTTTAGCTTTTCAAAACTTCAAAAGAAGCCCTGAAGGGGCTTAAGGTTTAGACTTTAACACCTTCATAAAAAGCCTTAGGGCTTAAGGTTTAGACTTTAAAGCCTGCATAGGAAGCCTAGGTCTTTAGCCGGCGCCCCAAGGACCGCTTTGAGGCCGACACAGCTCGCGGCTTCAGCGGCTCGGCTCCTGCCTGAAGGGGTGACGGTCAAGAGTTGCGGCTAAGGCTTAGGGTTTAGGGTTCAGGATTTATGGGGTTTATAAGGTCTAGGGTTAAGGATTCATAGGGCTTAGGGTCTAGGGGCTTACACAGGGGTTCACGGTTCAGGGTTCAGGGGTTTAGGGGTTTAGGGATATTAGGGTTGAGGGTTGAGGGCTTTTCTTGGCTTATAGCTAGGGGGGTTTAAGTTTTCGGATTTAGGGTTTTGAGGTTGCAGGTTCAGGATTTTCCAGGGTTCGGGTTTCGGGCTTAAGGCTTTAAGGTTTCGGGTTGAGCCATGGCTTAGGGTTTGAAGACTGATTGAAGCTTAGCTAGGGGCTCAGGGCTTGGGGTTCAGAGTTTAGCCAAGAAGAAGATGGGATAGAGTAGCAGGACCGATGCCGTACTGTGTTCCACCAAGCCATAACACCATGCCACCTGGGGAGGGTTGCCCAAACCCAGAACTCCCGCACTCCCAACCCCGTCCCCCCCAACCCTAAACCCTAAACCCTAAACCCCAAACCCTAAACCCTAAACCCAAACCCCAAACCCTAAACCCTAAACCCAAACCGCATGTCAAAAAAGACAGAATCCAGAGCTGGCCTTCCCGGCAGCCCCGGTCCCAGCAATCACGGCCTCTGGCCACGGAGATGGTGGTCGGGCTCGGATTTGCTGTGATCATTGCTAGCAGGTTTAGGGTTTAGGGTTTAGGGTCTGCTAGCACTCGTACAAGTAAGTTACTAGTACTATCTATGACTATGACTATGACTATGACTATGACCAGTACTAGTACGACTACTATTACTATGACTACTACGATTACAGTACGAGTACGAGTACTCGCACTTAGTACCATTACCAGTACTGCCACTATTGCTATTACTGCTACTACTATTACTGTCACTCTTGCTATTCATTATTGGCACCATGGTGATGACCATCATTGTTATAGGGGCCATGCCCAATGTACCTAGATCTGCTGCAAATCTCTCGCGGTTTCGTTCGATGGCGAAGACTGGCAAGCTTTGCGGCTTCCGTTTGAGGGATGCTTGAAAGTCGTAGTAGGCTTAGCTAGATGTACCGGAGCGGGAACATGCAGGCATGACGGTTATGGGTAGTTCTCTAAATCAGGGTTCCTTTTAGGTCCCCAATAGAGTACGGCACCCTTAGAAAAAGGACCCTAAAAGGAACCTTAATTTAGAGAACTACCCATATGCATGGAATGCGCCTTGCATGCATCACTCCTGCGGCAGGCAAACCTGTCGTACTCAGCATGTTCCTAGCAATAACCGGAACAGTAGGAGGCGAATAGCCAACATGGAGCGGCAGCACGGCAATTAAGGAGAGGATGAACCATAGCTTGCCCTTGCATTTCTGAAGCCCTCAAAACCTAAAGCTCCAGAACCCCAGTCTCCGAACCGACAAAACCCAAAGCCCTGAACCCAAAAACCCCACATCCCAAGGCCCAACCTGAAGCCATAAACCCTGAAGCCCACACCCCTGAAGATGTTGAGCCCCATGCTGGTGCTACGGAATCCTAAGCAGCACGATTCCTAATTTACTACTTCTCCAACTCAGGCCAGACACCAGGGTAAACTCGAGCACCCTCAAGCTTAAAATCCGATATTCGAGAACTGAGACCTAAACTGCAAGGCGCTGAAACCCTGAAACCCCAAACACCAAAGTTGGAAAAAATCTTGCAGAACTCTGGGTTTAGGGCTTAGGGCTTAGGGTTTAGGGCTTAGGCTTTAGGGTCTACACACCAAAGCTTGAGCCCCTGCTGCCGCTCAAGGCCCATACGCCACCGGCGGAGGCACAGCCGAGGCCAGCCTCGGAAAACACACAAGAGTTCTTGATATAATATAAGGCATGCTATACTAAGTCATAGTGTATGGTATACCATTTTCTGTTGTGTTGTAGTAGGCCATGCTGAAATATCATACTGTCTTATGCCTCTGCTATATTATCCTATATCATATTATTATATGATGTCATATATTTTAATGTATGATCGCATATCATATCATACCATATCACGCCATATCATATCATATATCAGATCTTGCGGAATACTATCATTTAGGGACATTCCTCACGTACTTCTGCACCCTGAACTGGGGGATCCTTAATGCGGCTTAAGATATAATATAGGGGCCTTAATGATTAGAACAGGGCTGTGGGGGTATATTCTACCATCATTATAATGGATAAAGAACCCTAAAAGAGTATAGGTAATCATGAGGGCTCCGATATTATCCCTATACATCTTATCAAGGACTCTTGGTGAACTTGGGATCGCGGAGCCTCGTCGAGTGTCCCCGCGGCGTCTTGTGGACCCCGGCTCCATCGTGCAGCTGAGCAGCTCTAGGGCAGTAAGGGTCTAGGGTCTGTCTTCAAAACCTAACCCTAAACCCTAAACCCCTAACCCTAAACCCTAAACCCTACCCTAAAGCCCCAAACCCTAAAGCCCCAAACCCCGAACCCTAAACCGACTTCAACTTGTGCCCTGAGCTCCAAACCCACCAGCCGGCAAAGGCCTGCAGGCAGTCGAGGCTCCCTTCTGAGCATTGGAATTGTGCTGTCCCTTCAAAGGGTTCCTTGAAGAAGGGGCCTAGACGGGTTCTATAGTAATAAGGGTTATGGTATACGGTTTCATAATATGGGGGCGCCCTCGTTATTGCCACCTGATCGACCGAAACCAGGAGCGCAAATCGCCTGGAAACCTACGAAGCACATCCGAAACACGAGTCTGCGCCTTGTAGACCCAGAACCTCACTTGCCCAAAACCATCACCCATCAATTCCAAAACACAAAAGCCCCCAACCCCTCATACCCCACACCCTGCCTGGCGAGCGTGGGGAACGAGTGCTGCAAAGTTGGTGGCATCTGCCAGGCCGTGGTGGCTAGCTTTGGCCTGCAATCGAGATCCCGCTGCAGGAAGGACTTGCGTTTTGGGTTATATATTTGTGGAAGGCCTTTTTGAAGTCTGCCGATTCAGTCGCTCGGACACGGATGACGACATCTTGTCAACAAAACTCACCTGACATGGATGCGAAGATGAGCGATGAGCCACAACGCAGGGGCCGGGATTTTAGGGCTTTGGGATTACCTGGGAGAGGGCATACCAGAGAAAAGTATACTGTATCATAATCTCATATACTGCAGTACAGTATAAGATAGCTTCGTATAGCACAATCTACCACAATACATCACAATATACCACAATCTATATATATATATATATTCTGGCTTTTGCTCAGCTTCTGCTTCCAGCACCGCTACAGCCCCTACCTGCGCACTGCGCTCCGCCACCGCCGAAGCGAAGGAGCCCGAGGTGGCCTTTGGGCCCAGCCGTTTCTAAGGAACTACGTTTAGGGTTTAGGGTTTAGGGTTTAGGGGGAACTACTACAAAAAAGAAGTGACCATCAGCATAACACATTCTGCAGGTGGGGGATTCAGGGTCTTCTATGGACAGGCCCCACGGCTGCCTTCACGTCGCCGAGAGCCTCCAACCTCACGACGCTCGATTCGTGGTCTACTTCTTCAGCAAAGGAGGAAGAAGGACCTGCCGTTTACAGCTTAGGATGGAGAGTTTCCGTGAACCCTCCTCAAGACGGTGACTTCGAAGCTGGACTGAAGTCTGGACTGCCGAGGTGCGTCGGCAGCGAGAGAAGCGGCCAGCGGATGGAAGAGAGAACAGCAACCGCAGACTCCTCTCCGTTTCATCATGGGAGCTTGTGGTTCATCCATGTGCTTGGCATCGTTTCTTGGGCCTCTGTCCTCTTGGCTTCGCGACGACACGCTTCAGAAGGAGATGATCACAAGACAACAAGGGCTGCACCTTCAAAAGCCCTCCGTCTGCTAGACATGATCCCCGGAAGCGCAACCCGACGCCACCGGCCATAACAAGCTTCCGGCCAAACACCGACAAAGCAGCTTCGGCCTGAACTTGAGAAGCCTTTCACCAAAAATGCTCGGTGACGTCCCCCAGGACGATGATTCCCAAGATCGACAGACCTTGAAGCCCTAAGCACTCAAAAAATATGGGGTGAACAGCTTGGCTCCGGACCACCCTGCCCCAAATGCCCCCCAAAATGCGCCCAACACCCCAACCAACCTCTGAGGCGAGGTCAGCCCTGAAAACCCCACACGAAGAAGCCCTTGAATGAAGATCTTGCAACCCCCTTACGCAGCTTGTTTCGGGTTTACGGCTTTTAGGGCTTTAGGATGCGATCCACTCATTAAACAGGAAGAACCGAAACCAGTTCTGCACTCCAAGTTCGCTCGGACCTCGCGGCCGGGTTTCGCTGATCGCCACTTGGCCACCTTAGCATACATGGATTGGGCACAGCAACCGTGATTCAGAGAGGGCTTTGTGCTCGCTGCTCGCTGCGAAAGCCCCTGAACTTCGCAAGAACTCTCCAAAGGATAGGGACTCCCCTAATCTACGGGAGCAAAGAGTAGTAAGCAGTAGCAGTCATCCTCCTCCTCCTCCTCGTCCTCGTCGTCGTCGCCGGAGCAGGAGCAGCAGCACCAGCAGTGCTGGAGGCAGTCTTCATCACTGCTATTTCGTGCTTCGGAATGCTTAGAATAACATTTAGCAGGCCCGTCGTTCTGGCTTCTGTTGCTCCAAGCATGCTACTGCCACGCATCTGCCTTGGTTGCTGGCCATGGCTCCCACCGACAAGCTCATGGCTTCCGGGGTTTAGGGTTAGGGCCCCCCTCCTCCGCACCCTAAACCCTAAAACCCTAAACCCTAAAACCCTGAAACCCTGAACCCTAAAACTCTAAACCCTAAATGGTCATGATGACGATTTGGGGGAAAATGAGACTCCTGGCCAGGATGGAACTCCCTTACCTGGGTCCGGCGCCCAAAGGAGAGTCTCTTCCTGGCAGACAGTTAAGGGTTTAGGGTTTAGGGTTTAGGGCTTAGGGATCTAGGGTTTAGGGTTTAGGGCTTAGGGGGCCAGACAATCGCCGCTGATTCAAAAGCAGCCTTTTTGTACGGGACTTGGGATGATTGGAATGGGGCTGTCGGGCAGATTGTAGCAGCATTCCGTAGGGACCAGATGGGGGCACGGTTACAAATCATTCAAACCCATACACTCCTTCCGCGTCTCGATGACTTGATTACTCCCGTTTATCCCTGACTTCATTGGCAGAACTGTGTTCGGCAGCCGTCCAGAGCTGTATGTTGTGGAAGATATACTGACGTTCCCGGAGCCTGCCGCCTTTTTTCAAGCATTGCAAAACCACTATTGACGGATGCTTCCTCTCCTCCGACGCCACCGTCAGCTGATCGCTTTTCAGCAGGTATTCCAGGACCTCCGGCAGATCTGGCCATTGTGCGATTTTCACAAGTCATCATACAAACACTAAACCCACAATCCCCTACACCCTGAGCCCTCAGCTTCCGCTGCTACATCCATAAACCCTAAACCTAAAACCCGAAACCTGAAACCCTGGACCTCAAACCCCGAAACCGAAAACCCGAAACCCAAGACCCGAGACCTAAAACCCGAAACCCGAAACTCTCTCACAGTCCACGCCAGGAGAGCCCCCACGTCCGACCCAGGCCTTCGGCGGCCAGCGCTGAAACGGCTCCGTGGCCGCACACGCGGCGAAGTTCCCCAGGACGAAAGCCTCGGCTTGGGGCTCTAGGGCTTTAGGGTTCTAGGGTTTTGGGCTCTAGGGTTTAGGGCTTCTAGGGTTTAGGGCTCTAGGGTTTAGGGCTTCAGGGTTTAGGGCTTCTAGGGTTTAGGGATTAAAGGTTGAGCTTGGGGTAGAGGGTCTAATGTTTAAGGCTCTAGGGTCTAATGCTTGAGGTTCTAGGGTTGAAGGTCTAGGGTTTTCCGGGTTAGTTTTAAGGATTTCTTGGAGCTCCTTTTACTCCTGCTCCCTCGTCGGCGCGCACTCGGCTCAGAAGAACGGGACATCCCAGAAATCCCTCTGACTGTAGGGGTTTCGGGGTGCAGACCTGCAGAGGGATCAGAACCCCCGATCCTTCATTCGAAACCCCCTAAACCCTAAACCCTAAACCCTAAACCCAAACCCTGGGCCCTTTTTAGGCTCCCTCAAGTCAAAGGAACCCTCTTCAGACTAATTACTCAGGCTCCCACTGCTACCCCTAAACCCCCAAACCCCAAAACCCTCAACCCCTAAACCCCTAAACCCTTGAACCCCCCAACCCTTAAACGGCCCAACCCTTCAACCCCCCAAACCCTAAACCCTAAACCCTCAACCTAGAGCCCTGAGCCTGCATACTGTTGATGATATAAATCCTGCATTACCTTCAGGACCCTAAACTATGGGAATTATGGTATTCTCCTTATCATGGGTAATGCAGGATTGATATCATCAACCATAGCACCACAGGAGAGGCCCCCCAAAAGCTTCCACTTGGGCTCCCGCCCTCGCCGCGGCGCCCAGCGCCTCGCCAAAGGGCTCGCCTCAGAAGCGTCGGCTTCGGTGTTGAGAGTTTAGGGTTTAGGAGGGTTTAGGAGGGTTTAGGGTTTAGGGTGTTTAGGGTGTTTAGGGTTTAGGGGTTTAGGCTTGAGAGTACGGGGTTTGAGGAGTGAGAGCTGAGGGATGTTCAGGTTTTGAGGCTTCAGGAGCTTTGAGGGTTGTTGCTCTTGGAAGTGAAGCTGCTGGGGAGGCATTGCTGAAGGAGGGCGTCGCTGAGCCTCTCTCCAAGCAGACTCTCCCAGAGCTACGAAGCGCTCAGTCGAGAAGTCGTGTCTTGTGTTGATGGCCTAAACCCTAAACCCTAAACCCTAAACCCTAAAATCCTAAAAATCCTAAACCCTAAACCTATGTGAACTCGGCCCCGGCTCTGACACTTGCATCCGGCGCTGTGATACTCTGCTCTTGTTCCCTTCGGGTTAGGGCACGTTCACGCTTCCCCATTGCTGGAGGCAACGCTGTGAATACAGCCGGGGGTCCGAAATTCCCATCCCCCAAATCAGTGTAGTGCGCATTCCTCATGTTCACAACGCGATGGCGAAGAAGCTCATCGAGTGGGATGGGGTTTCCTCCTAAGCAGAAGCCAAGTCACCCAAGGCGAACAAAGCAGCCACCACCGCTGGCCTGGCCATGAGAAAACCAACGAATAAGGTGCCGCGAGTTTCGGAGCCCTGACCATCCGGCTTATGGTGTAAAGCCATTCGAGTTTAGGGTTTGGGGTCCAACACTGCGATTAGACCTCTGGGCAATGAAGCACAGGATTCTTGGACAAGCAGTAGCAGCAGCGGCAGCAGTAGCAGCAGTAGCAGTAAAGATGCAGATATCTATATGTGCGTAGAAAATGTGTTTTACCATTCCCTGTGCCAAGGTATATAGCGCATTCATGTGATCCACAGAACTTCGGCAGCTCCACGTGAGGCCCCCGTTTTCGGAGGACAGGCTTGCGGCCAGAGTTTCCTGCGCTTGGGGGATGGGATGGGGCAGGGAGGGAAGGAATGCCGGCTGGGATGCGGCCACGGATCCATGTTCGCTGCGCCCTGGTGCCATCAGCAGTCATACTCGTGACCATCCTGGTCATCTTCATCATCTTCATCATCACCGTCCTCTTCATCCTCCATGAACTGAAAGCAGCTGCATCATCATCACCATGGTGGTGGACATCGTAATCCTCGCCAAAAAAAGCGCTCACCGTTAAATAGGAAGACAGGGCCTGCAGCGACAAGAGGTCCCATCGCCGCGCCATGCGCGCCACCTCCGTCGGCCCGGTGGGCTTCACAGACATCTTCTTGCTGGCGCATAAAACGGAGCTGATCCAAACTCGCCCCAAAACTTTCCAGATCTTGTTGCTGGCGCCGAAACCGAAGCTGATCCAAAACTCGCCCCAAAACTTTCCACTCGGGATAATTAACAACGGCTTCTTGTGGAGTTTGAGAAAGCCTAACAATAATTCGAATGGGGTTCTCTAAGGTATGCATCTCGGCTACTATTGATAAACCCTAAATAACCTGGCATGCCTTGCTGAAGCCCCGGATGGCCTCTGGCACCGTCTGCGGCGGCAGCTGCGCCTGGCCAGAATAGATGAAGTCGAGCACCTGGACTTCGGGATCTTAGGGACTCACAGCTTTAGGCTTTCGGCTCACCGGGTTTTGGCTTAGTCTCGGCACATCTCGGCCGTTGACCCTAAAGCCTTGAAGGCTGCAAGCTTAGAGATACACTCAACAGCACCGTGAAAACACGTATGTATACATCGTTGGGTCAGCATATCTCAACCTGTTTTATACAGAGCTATGCTGCATAGGTTTGCCCTCCTCGCGAGCCCGGAATCTGCATTTTTGTTGCCTCGGTCACACCAAAAAAGAAACCAACCGGCACATGCATTCGATATATTGGGCCCGAGATCCTCAATCCGACCGAAGAGCTAGCAAACGCACCCACCATCCAGAGGGTCTAGATTGAAGCCGGGAGCGTGCTCACAGATGGACAAGAAAGGAGCTCGGAAAACGTGGTGACCCGACCAAGAATGTGCACAAGCACAGGCACAAACACAAACAAGCAAGCCAGCAAACAACCAAACAAACAAACGCAAGCAACGCAGTCGCGCTTCTATGTATGGGTAGACCTGTGCTTTTGTGCTGCCAAGGCACAGCTGTCACCGCTGCAGCGGACGCACCGGCAGCGACAGTGCGAAGACTGGCTGGATTGATGCTATTGGCAACCCGGTGGGGGGACAGTGTAATAAGAAGAGTATTGAAAAGAAAAAACAAGAGGAATAGGATTCGTAACCCCAGCGGTAGCGCAGGACATTGTAATGACAAGCTCGCCTTCAACAATCAAAGTGCCGATGGCAAAAGCAGCAACAGCAGCAGCAGCAGAATCAGTGGCGTTGGCAGAAGCAATGGCAGCAGCAGCGGCAGTGGCAGAGGCAGTGGCGGTGGATGGCAGTGGCAGCAGTGGCAATAGCAGTCGCAGTCGCAGTCGCAGTCGCAGTCGCAGTGGCGGTCGTCGTCGTCGTCGTCGTCGTCGTCGTCGTCGTCAAAGTCGTCGTCGTCAACGTCGTCGTCGTCGTCGTCGTCGGCGGCGTCGCCGTCGTCGTAGTCGTAGTCGTAGTCGTAGTCGTAGTCGTAGTCGTAGTAGTAGTAATAGTAGTAGTAGTAGTAGTAGTAGTAGTAGTAGTAGTAGTAATAGTAGTAGTAGTAGTAGTAGTAGCAGTAGTAGTGGTGGCAGTTGTTGTTGTCGTTCTTGTTGTCG